AATCATCTAAACAGCGATGTGCCAGATAAAACATCCTTAATGGAAGGTCATTAAAAACAACATGATATACCACATCATTAACACGATAATATGACCCGTAGTGGACCAAACTATGTAAAAATGCTCCAATTAGTTGCATGACAAAATTCAAAGTGGCCCTCAACGTTTTGCATTTCTAGAAAATTGACTTACTCAAGAAATTCTCTACTCAGTAGCTTCTCAATAAATTCTGGCGTTCCGGCCGCTGGTTCCATATAATAGGGATGCAACTCAGATTTCACCGGTTCTTGAAGTGAAGACAAAATGCAGTACTCTACCCATTTAGTCAAAGAAACTGTAAACAAAACCTCCAAGGGCAAATTTAGAACAAACAGCAGCAGCTTATTACAAGCATTCCAAAAAAAATGGAAGTGTACTGGTTGGAGTAAAACTTATAATGGACGAATGTGACCCATTTGTAAAGGTGAGGGGAGAGTTTCACGATTAGTGCTCACATCAAGAGCCTCTAAACGGATATTTTGAATGCTCTTCACGAAGAGGAAATGCATACACTATGACGGATAAGTTCGACAAGAATCACAAGATGATCACAAGTCCCCACCTATCAGCCACAACCGCCGAGCAAACGACCCTGGAAGAGACTGATAAAAACTGCCGCCATTTTTGTTTCTAGGTCACCAAGGAGTAGAAACAACGGATTAAGTGTTTTACAATTTCTATGAACGTAACAATATATAAATCAAACAATAGGATAATGTCATTTTCATCTAATCTTTCCAATTAGGCCATCGACTCGACTTAGTTCATTCTTGAAAGGAAAATACTAAAGCTCTGCCACAAATTCCAGAAAATTGTGCATCTGTAGAAGGACAAGAATCACAAAGACTTTATTTTTGCTAAGTTTAGGAAATATTAGCGTGTTGCAAAACCATCGAATCCCAGCTTTTATGCTGATTTTGGTATCCAAGTTTCCATATCAGATTAATTATTCCACTTATGACGCCTAGAGACGAATAATGCTCCAATTTAAGAATGGGATTACGATAGCCTCGAGACTTCCTATCCGGTACAAGAAGACGATAAGTGCAGCTGGATACATGTATTTTGAAGCCGACAAGGCAAATGGGCTTGAGCATGGCCTGAAGGCCAGCCCACACGTACAAAGGTCAGACAATTCCTAAAGTGATCGCCAAACGTCAGGCAGTCACATAAACAGAACACTACGATCTCAGAGTGTAAAACTAGTGAAGCGTCGCTCACGACCGAGTTTATGGGTTAAAGATCTCGGCACACGGTGATCAACAGATCACAGGTCTTCGTACTTCACTTGTGTATGAATTGATGTGAACAATTTGGAAGCCATATTATACTTGCCACCACAAAATTATAATCTAGTATGTTTGCACACAACTCAACTGCATAGTCCACGCTTTTCATGGAGCGCCACGTTGAAGTTGACTACTGTGCATTCACTTGCAGCGTTGAACTATGCTCATATCAGCAAAATGCATGCAACATTCGAACATTCTGCACTCTTCAGGGGATCAATGCGAGCAACGCTTAAGTATTTAAACAATTTATTGTAGTAAACAAGTAATAAAATCTAAAAACAGCCATTTACTGTCCCTGCTGCCTCCCTTTACGACTATGCCACAGAATGCAAGCGCGGCACCAGTAAGCAAAGCCGAAGAGGGCAACCTTGAAAATTGGCGCCAGAAGGATCTCGATCACAGCAACGAAAGGGGGTGGGAGGGGCAACGGGCAGTCTTGCTGAGCGCGACTAACACCTGCAGTGGCCCATGAAAGTGCGCGCCCTGTAGCACCGAGAAGGGAGCGCTGACGGCCCAAAAGCACATCATGCATCGCACTAGCCGCCACTGCCGCCGGCGACTCTAATCCACCCGCCTCTGATATTGCTCGGGTTGTTGCTGGTTTACCCACGTTCTCCGCCTGGATAGACATAAAATCCAGTAATAAAAGGCCGACCACGGTGTAGTGCTCAACCCAAAAGGCGCTCATAAATATGCAATGACTTGCTTCCCTTGCCTGAGCGCACAAACAGCATATCAATTTTAACAATGATTGCTTAAACGAGTGTACTACTAGGATGTTGTTTTAGGCGACAACCTCCACCGAAAATAAAAAAAGAGTAAGGTAAGAAGAAAAACCTACTTACCTGTAAGCCGGGAGTATCTGTGTCAGGTGGAAAGATGATTGTGACAGCAGGGCCCACATCTTCTAATTCCTGTTGCAGGATATCAGCGAATGTGGTGATAGCCGATTTGGCAGCAGCGTAAGCGGAGAATCCGTATATCGGCACAAGGCTGGCGAGAGAGGAGACAAACGCGATGCGTCGTTGCGAGGCGTTTCTCTCTTTTTTCACCCCCATACCTAATGGAGAGAGCATGGCGGGTAGAAGAACCTTAGTTACATGCACCGCGCCCAGATAGTTTAGTCGGATGAGACGATCGAAGACATCCGGCGGGCTCGCCTCAAAGGTCTGCGCCAGGGCTGCACCTGCGCAATTGAAGAGCACATCCACCGTGCCGACTAAAGAGAAAAACCTTTTCGGATTTAAAGTTTCACCTTACAGGCTTAGATACAAATAGAAACTGAATTTTATCAATACGAAAATCAAAAAGCGGCTCCCAATTGTAACACAGTTGAAGGATGTGCATACAAAAATACCCAGTCGTGCAATTTTCACGACCCTATGAAGTGAAAGCATCACAAGCCAGAGTAATAGAGATCAATTCATGCAATGAAAGAAGACCACTCATAAGCTAATCATACAATCAATTCCGCACTAGTTTC